ATAACTGTAACTGTGGCGGCGCACACAGGTGCACTTTGCTAAGCGCTTGAGAAGGTTATTTTTCATTTATTCTCGCTCGGAACGATGGCTCCACAGTTAAGTCAACTGCAGCGTTTAACTATTTTATCATTACGAGAGAGTGGATACAGTGTAACCCAAATTGGACGAAGAACGGGAATTTCGGTGAGTTTTTTTATTAGTTAATAATTTTTACAGCACTTTATACTTTTAGACACGTATTACATTACATTCTCGTATTTTCACGAAGCTAGATTTGTTTATTTGAGTTGCATATAACAGTTACGTGGAGATTGATATATTGTTCATTTGCCTGATTTTGAATATAATGAACTACTTTCAGTTACAATCTTTTATACTAATTTTTATTGCGTGGTATACACCAAAACTTATATATTATAGAAAATTACCTAATACAGATAAATTTATATTTTTATTATTATTATTATTCATATTATTGTTTTTTTTTGTTGTTAAACTTGCTAATTTATTTTTGTGAAGTCACTTTACGTTGTTGAAGTAATAAGACTGCGTTGCGTTTGATATTATTTTTCTATTACTTATTCTAAATCATGTTTATGTAGAGATATAAGTTTTGTTATCGCCAAATAATATATTAGGAATAAATAGAGACATTGACAAAGTAAATTCAGATCACGGTTTAAATTTAAAAAAGATGGTAAATATGTTTAAAATACTCTACTATTGTAGGTATTCCATTTCATATATTTTAGTGAAACGTCCCTGTGCTATGAAAATACACAATTCGTGTATACGTAACTCCAATACACATAATAAAAAAATATTATACCCTAATATCTTTCAATGTGATTGAAAATATAGTCCTTCTAGATTTTAGTCAGTCCATTGTAAACGCTATTGAGCACCTATCACTTCTGAGTTGGGTTATTACTTTGTTTTATTCCACGCAATATAAAATATATTTACTATTTTTTTAGAGACAGACCATATATTTTTGGCTAAGGCGATGGGAAGAATCGGGCTCCATTGAGGCACACCACAGAGCACTTTATGAAAGAGCGACAACTGCTGCGCAAGACGCACTTATAGTTGCCGCGCAACTAGAAAATCCTTTCCTTCGTACTCGCGTGAACACATCGAACTATAACGTAAGTAATATAATATAATATTACTAGTAGTTATGTGTCCGCAAAGTTACTATTTTGGAGCTATAATCTAATTTGTAAACTTTTTTACAGTGCCTATTTAGTCTATTCAGTCAATAGTTAGCACTTACCCTAGGTATTATATATATATTATAAGTGCCGCTTTATGTAAATATAACTTTATAAAGCGGGTAAATACAAATACATAGTAACAAAAAATATGGTAACAAGCCCAACGTAAAACAATTTGTATTTATACATTTTTAGAAAATATTGGCAATTACGGTTAACATTCGAAATCGAGTAAATTATTTACAACTAAATACAATAATATTTATATTTCAGATTTCGCCATGGACTGTACGCAGACGATTAAATGAGGCAGGTCTTAAATGTAGGCGACCTGCAAAAAAAATTCTGTTAACCCAAGCTCAGAAAGACGCAAGGATTGGCTTTGCCTTACAATATTTAAACTTTGACTGGGAAAATAACATCGTTATTTTCGTCGATGAAAAAACTTTTACAACTTCGGAAGACGGGAAAACAAAATTGTGGCGACTAGACAATGAGAGGTTTGTGGAGAAAAATACCATACCCAATCGCTCTAGTGGTCGCGTAAGTCTAGGGTTTTGGGGATGGATGAGTTCAATGGGTTCTGGGGAACTAGTTGAGATAGGGGGTCGTATGGACTCTCAACAATACTTATCTCTTCTGGAAGATATTTTCTTACCTACGGTACGCGTGCACTATCCTCAGGGCACCATTTATCTCGCACAAGATAATAGCAGCGTCCACAGTGCTCAAATTGTGCAGCAATGGATACACACTCAACCAGACCTGCAATTACTACCGTGGCCATCAAAAAGTCCAGATTTGAATCCTATCGAGAACTTATGGGGACTCATGATTCTCGATTAGGATTCAAGTGCAGTCAGAAATAGAGACAACTTAAGAGAACAAGTGTTCTATACGTGGGAGAATATGAGAGGGTCAGATGGGTGCTGGAATAAGGTGACCGGTATGAGGAATAGGTTGAATGCCGTATTAGATGCTAATGGGGGTCCCACCAAATACTAGCAAAATAAGGCATTCAATCTATAAAACATCTTTCACCTATTCAGTGCACATTTTTCCCTCTCATTTACATCAACAAATACCACGAATTCCTATTTCTGAGCTGCTCTTGATTAATCTAGGTTTTTAATGTTCACGGTATAACTTTTGAGTACTCCTAACACCTAACTGTCCTCAGCTTCATTGATGTGGTAAAGTCTTCGTAGATCTGGTTGATTGCGATATTATAACATCTTAATGTGTAAAATACTTGGAACCTGCTTATTAACCTTAGAACCTTATTATTATTACATGTTGTTACATTTTTTTCAAAAAAGAATTAAGCCAACTATCACAACTTTAATTGTTTTCACGAGATACTGTTACGCATCTTATTTGTCATGATTGAGTTTCTCTTTCTTTCAAACACACCGCGCAGCTCCTTTGTAAACCACAATGTATCTGTTCCAGCGGTGCGGCACTGTTTGACAACGTAGAGAGCATTGTTCAAAACAAGAAAAATAATAATAGGTCATTGTTACCGTAACAAACCATGTTTTTGTATATTTGTTTTTAAAATAGAAGCCCATTTTAAAGTCGTTTTAACATTTTGCTGTTTTTTGCAGTCTTAGATATCTTTTAAAGTAGTTCCAGGTATTTTAAAAACAACCCTGTTTACTCTCTATAATTTAAAAATAGTAAGAAAGGCCATTTTAAAATAATATTATGAAACATATTATTAGACAAGTTTTTAAGAGTTTTTTCATTCTTTTTTGTAAGGTTTTCTTGATATCATCTACCAATTTTCTTTTATTGAATTTATATAGTTCTTCAATAAGCTAAATATCCTTAATAAGCTTAATGAGGTCCACTGCTACACATAGGACTCCTGCTATGTGCGCCGTTATGCCCATTCCAATATACTACATTAGACCTTACTTTAATACTTATTTAGTCTGATTTTATGTAACTAGTGTTTTAATTGTTGGCTTGTTGTAAATAATTTGTTGGTTGTTTAATACTACATTAGATCTTACTTTATTACTAATTTACTCTGATTTTATGTAACTAGTGTTTTAATTGTTGGCTTATTGTATATAATTTGTGCTATATGTTTATGTGTTGTATATATAATTATGCTATATAATTTGTTGGGTGTTTATTACTACACGAGACCTTAATTTAATACTAATTTAGTCTGATTTTATGTGACTAGTGTTTTAATTGTTGGCTTGTTTTAAATAATTTATTAGTTGTTTAAGTTTGAGACTACCTACTAAGAGAAAAGTTGATTTATAAACAAGTTTAATTTTAGGGCAATTGTTGATTGTTTAAGCATTAAGTCAAGTTGATTTTTAATAGTCTTATATAAGCAGTAAATCTTTAAACTTTTAAGTAAAAGTTGGTTTATTTTTGTAAGTGATTATTATCTTTTAAGTAAAATTTAATACAAGTTGATTGAAAAATGGTTTTGCGTTTTTATTTATCGCTTTTCATCGCCTATAAAATTTATTAGAGATTAAATTTAAACCATACTTCATATTAAGAGGTATAAATTGTTACTATTGAACTAATAGGTTTCAAAAGGAGTGATAGCCTAATAGGTATACGTGCTTGTCTATGTGATGTCCGCACTACTACAACAGCTCGTAGGTATCCTGACTGCGACCTATTTTTTTTTCCTTTAAAATAATGGTATGTTATAAATAACGATTAATTGCAATAAAATAAACATATTATACGTGCACTATTTTTAAAGTCTGTGGTATGTTTAATTAAAAAAGTAAATCTTATAAATTGATGTTATTTTAAACTTTCTAATTGAAGGAGATAAGTTGGCTCTAAGAATAATTTCATAGCAAAGTAATATCAAAAAAGGCATGTTTTCATAGTTCATCAATTTAGTTATATACTTAATTAAGAAACTGAGTAATATTAGGAAATGAAAACATTTTACAAAACCTCACAAGATCAAACTTTTAAAAGTGTTAAAAACTACGGGCACGTTAGCTCGAAAAATGTGTTTATTACTTTTTATTTAGATAAGTCAAAACAATAAAACCTGCTCAACTCAACGCACACAAAGAAGCAACGCGTAGTGCAGCACAACAAGTGTGACGCAAGTGAGAGAGAAGCCTATTTATCTCTGTCACTCATTTGCTCCGTTTTACTTCAAACGGTCCAAAGTCCAAAGTGTCAAGCTTGATGTGCTCTTGACTGTACCTAAGTTTGAAGTAGCGCCATCTATGTTTCCTAAACAAATTAATTCAACATAACGTTGAAAGCTTTTTTAAACATAAAGTCTATGCGCTTCAACGTTTTTCTAAACGACTTTTTAAGCGTCAAGCTAAAAGCGTTTAAGTGAAAAGCGTTTTTACAAGCACGCTTTTTAAACGTACGTTTTAACGTTAAAAAATAAGCCGTTTATTCCATTCCAACGGTTAACAACTACAAAAGTTAAACAACTAATGTTTTTGAATGCTTTTAAACGCCATCGCCAATGAACAAAATGTTAATATGTTATGTCATCATAAATAAAAATATAACTCGTTTTTTACAAAAAAACTTACTCATCTTAAAACCTTTAGAGGCATACTCTTGCGTTTCATTATCAACGCAACGTTGCAAGCTTTTTTTAACATAACAGTCTATGCGCTTAAACGTTTTTGTTAGATGCAAACTAAAAAGCGTTTAAAAAAAGCATGCTTTTTTTAAAAAACGTAAACGTAAAAATAAATGAGCAGTTTTTCCCATCTCTAAACGTGTAGTGTCAAAAAAATAACCGTAGTCTGTGAACCTCACAGTGAGCAATCATTGTTCAATTAGGTTTGTGTTTTGTGAAGAAGTCGTTAGGAGAATTGAATAAGTTCAATAACTGCTGCAAAAATGCTTCGAAACTTACGTAAAATCCCTGCTATTACAAATGCATTACCTTCAGCTTACATTCAAAGACAGACATTTCTAACTAATGACTATAAATGTACAGAAGCTTGGAATTCACAAACTTCAACACCTATTCTCAATAAAGTAAATTTGAATGACTTTTACCATGTTCTTGATCAAAATTTTTTATCAAAAGGTGTCATTAGTGCTTTAGATGTAGATATATTTGCAAACGCATTGAATGAACCAGTGTATTTGGAAGAACTCAAAGATCTTTTGCATAAATTGCGACTTTCAGCAGAAACGGGAAGCATGTTAGAATCTACTCATCACGCAACAGTCAGGAATTACATCGAGTTTGATCACATAGAAGAATTAGTAGACATATTGCAGGATCCCTTAAATTTTGGTTTGTTTCTTGATGATTTCACAGCCAACATTTTACTGGATAAATTGATAGTATCAGAGAAGTATGAATTGGCTACTAAAGTTGCATCCATGATTATGTTGCAAGAAGATTTTAGTAACGATATAACTTGTGCACTCTGTCAGTATGCTTCTTACAAGTATATTACTGCTCCGAGAGCTGTTCCTAAAGGTTCTGAAACAGTAAGTGATGCTCCTGCATCTTCAGGAAAACCCAAAAAAGTAGAAGAAATAAAAATTAGAGTGAAATTTCTTAGGAACCCTTATTTTGATGATCATTTTGACATAAAGGATACCCTTTTACTTTCTGGAAAAACATTAGCCTGGATTTCAGAAAGATGCAACGACAATCTTAACAATAATTTGCAAATTCTGGGTTGGCTTATGTACAAGAAATATGAAAAACTTTTTGCTTATTGTGAAAAGTTTGCCAAATCACCCTCCTTTAAAGTATACAATGAAGTTATAGAACAAATGAAAATTGAAAGTAATATGAAATCTGAGGCAACGGAAATGCTAGGTAAATGTATATCTGCATTGGGTAAAGTTCAAACCACTGAACTTCCTCTAGAAAAATCATTGATGATAACAATAGAAAATGCAATTAACAAAGTTCAGAATATTGATATATCTAAACAAAAACAGGTTTGTAATTGAAATTTTCATAAAAGTTAGGTGACAATATTGTATATTGGTACTTTGAATTTCTTAACCTTTTTACATTATTTGATTCCAGTTATTCAAATCTTGGGCTCAGGTTAGAGAAGAAAAATTGGAAGAGCAAACAAAACGTTTGGATAGAGCAAAGAGGATGGAGTTGATCCAAGAGAAACAAAAGGAACTTAACAAACAAGAACAGAAATTGTGGTTCTTTGAAAATGAGGATACTATTGACTTACAGATTGAAGAGAAGGAACAACTTGAAGACAAGTCTACTGACAAGAAAAGCACTAGCATGAAAGCTGATGAGGATTATATTCCACCTGAAATTCTTCCTCAGAAAAAATAGTGCAAGTAATACTAGTTAATTTGAATGTGAGGATATATTTATTTGATACAGTTAATAATACATTCTTCCCAATTACCAATTTTATTTGTACAGGTCCACCATCATTAATATTTGTTGCCAATAACAACAATACCTTTAAATGAGCTCAACTGATTCTTCTTGCATTTTAGTGAGATCAAGTTGAATCTTTTTTAAAGTATCTTCAGTTCTCTTAGTCGTTTCAGCTTTTATATTGTCTTCTAAGTCCACAATATCCCTAGCTAATGAGCCTGTGTCATTGACAAGGGAAACTATGGTGTTACATTCAGAGTGTAATAGGGCCAGTAACTTATATGCTTTCTTAGCTTGGTCATCCTTCTTTGCATCCTAGAATTTCAAATGCTCAATTTACGGGTTTGCTTTTACTTACTACTATTTATAATACTATTTGTAGTGAAAATTTACTTAACTTACTCTGAACAAGGTTTCATCAGCAATGGAAAAACACCTATCCAGTTGCCCTTCCAGAGTATTGATTTCTTTTTGAAGCTGCCTTGTGTCTTCTAGTACCTTCTGTATTTCAAGATTTTGTTTATCTACATTACTTATAATTTCCAATATTCTTTTCGTGTAAATAGACCTGAAAAACATTAGCTCACCATTTTACCGCACCGTTATATAAGTTCTACAATTTAGCCCTGCACTAAACAAATTAATTACCTTTTGTTACCTCCTTTAATTTTGTCATAATTATTTTTCACTTGATTTTTCATTTCTTCTTTCTTCTCACATTCCTCTTTCATTGATTTGGCAGTTTCTTTTAAAGCAGTCAATGTTTTTTTGCATTTGGTTCTTTCAGACTGAAAATACGCGTTTTATATTTCTTAGAGCCTATGCACACGTACATGCGCGACTCACGAACGCGTGTTTACGGTGCGCTGTAGTGAATCGATTCAAACTCCACTAGAGTTTACACTAAGAATTTAATTTAGTTGTTTCATTTCAGAAATGAACCTAAATTTACAAGCAAAAGTAAAATTAAAACTATCTCTTATCAAAACACGTGTTCATGCGCGTGACTGCAGCGCGTTGCAGAGCGTACGGCCCACGGCGCGTACATAATACGGCGTGTGCATAGGCTCTTAGCTTAATAATTTTCAACAGCAAACATTTAAATTGTGCTTACCTCTGATGCAGCTAAATTGTTTCTCAATTTATCAATTTCTACTTTGAGAGATAAATTCCGAGATATTAATTCCTCACTCTTTCTGTGCAGCATATTAATATTTTCCTGAACTTTGTCCAAAACATTGTCAGTAGCATCGAATGAGTCAATATCTGTTATTCCAATACTATTTAGTATATTTTGAACGTGTTTTAGGTCAGCTTCAGCTCTTTCACAAGCTTTTTGGGCCTATGAATTTCAAATAGTTGGTACATTATACTATCATCACAGTATTACATAGATTCTCGGATTCTAATAATTAAAACAAATGAAAGTAAAGATCAGAAACAGATCTGTCAGTGTACCTAATTCCAGCATCACTAACATCGAGTTTTTAAAAGACAATGAAACTTCACGATACAGGATTCTCCTAGTTCAGGTACATGTGTTATATGTTACATTGATTCGCTTTAGTATTTAGTTATTACAATAAGTTATTCAATGAATGATTTTATCATATTATTTCTTTATTATCCATATTTCCTTACACTTTTTAATTAAATTGGATTTGTATGAAGTTTCATTCAAGCAAATTTAGATTTTTATAGAATATCATGGTGATACTCATTTTACTTCTTATAAAATACCATAGTAGATTAAGAATAAGTATGGCTACTTCATAAAATGTAGCTGCGCGCCTTATGTGTGTTGGCCAGTGCACGTCCCGTGTACGGACGCACACATTCGCATTTTTGTTAAAGGGGGCGTTCATTATTCTGCATTAGTCTGTCTACTCGTTCGATGCGTAATGCAGTATTATGAATGTATGTAGTCCTAGGGTGCAAGCCATCCTGCAATGCGTCCTGCGAGACTCCATACGTGGGCCAAACGCAGGATAGTGTGAGCAGTCTCCTGCCTGCGCGGCGGCCATGCAGGTAGTGAATGGGCCGTTTAAAAGTGCAATGTGCTTAGCGTCTGTCGTCTCACGCGCCATTCGTTAAAGAATTGAAGCGTTCGTTCGATGTTTAAAAAATTACAACAAATGACGCATATTGTTGGGTTTTGTGGTTGTTTGAACTAGAGCGCCTTAAATTCAGAATTATCGTTCTTGATTCCTACTGAACATGAGAAGTAAATTACATAATTTTTATTTATTTGATGACTTTACTTCCCAGCAGTTTGTGTTAGATAAATAAATAATGCATACTCATAGCCCCCACACTAGGGAAACCCTGTGTCGCGGGTGTCATAGACACACATACAGCAACCACAAATTACATGCAAACTCACGAGAGAAATAAATGTAGGGCATACAAATATTTTTCCCGGCCCGGGAATCGAACCTGGGACTTCTGCGTGGCAGACCATCATGGTAACCGTTAGGCCACGGAGGCAGAAGAGGAGCTCCCGAGAAACTTATATACTACACTGGCGTTTGCAGAACAAGGAGAAAAATGTTGAAGACAAGGACAAAGACAAGACCTTTGTGTTTTATACTTGTCACACGTCATGTCTAGTGTATGCAAAATAAACACCCAAAAACGAATAGTAATAATTTAGTACACTTACTGAGCTGATTCCTAAATTTATTTAAGGATACATTTAAAAAGACGCAGCAGTGTGCATGCATTTTATATTTTTTTAGTTGCTTCATTTCAAAAACTAACTGAAATTAACGAACAAATCTCAAATTATAACTAAAGAAAGATGCAACACATAGAAATTGAAGTGAAGTTCATTTTTTCATGCCTCTGTCCGATGTTCAAAGTGCTATCTCCAGTGTAAGATCTACATAAAAAAACGTAAAAATTGTCACAAAGATTGCCAACTATTGAAATCGTACGTAGCACGTCAATACAAGTTCTTGAAATTCATGTTATAGAAATAATCCACCTGTAGGGATTACCTGTGTAATTTAAAAATACTGTGATAAATACTTTGTTTTTCAAATTATGTTTACAACCTGTAGGTACAAATTAAAATAATAATGTGACAACTCTACACTTTGATGCGCCAAACAGGCGGGAGTTGCTCTACTTGTTCTTATTCTAATAAGGAAATGCTCCGCTAGTTTCTTATAATCATTAATACAAAGATCGAACACAAAGAAAAATTCCTTCGACCTGACTGGACTCGAACCTGCCTCTGTGCCACACAAGGGCTACCACTCTACCAACTGTGCTACATATCGAGTCAGCAGATCACTAATTTCTCTTGAGCGTTATAGACTTTATCGCCGAAAAAAACGACACCTGTATGAGATCTATGAAGCTTCTCACTTAGCCGGTACCTATATAGTTAGCAGTCTGACGTGAGATGGCTATAAAAGTAGAAAAAACCTAACACAAAAGATCTGTAACAAATAAAAAAAAAAAATACGCCACATTAATTTTTTGAAGGTATCTAAATATAGTCTTGTTACGTACTCAGTAGTGGCAGTGTTTAATAATAATATTATGCTATAGTAGGTATAATGTTGTAAAAATCATGAAGTCCGGGAGACTACGGGTCGTATTCTAGAACTCTACTCAATGCTCAAGTCAGAATTTGAGTATGGTTTAAAGCAATTGATATCATACTCAAGTCCCTGCCATTAGGGTCGTATTTCCAGTGCAATCCTGATTTGAGCATTGAGTATGATTTCCAGCACTGCACTGGAAATACGACACTAATGGCAAGGACTTGAGTATGATTTTCAGTGCTTTACATCATACTCAAGTCCTGGCTTGAGCATTGAGTAGAGTTCTGGAATACGACCCTACATTTTTTTAAACTCGACTCCAGACTCCGACAGACTTCACCGCTCGATGAATTACGATTTGCGAGCCTATCGAGTTTCCGAATAGACGCGAGTTCGACATTAATGGTGGCTAGTTACAATAAGTAGACTTATTTATTATAACGTGTCGCGCTCGAGTTCGAGTCTGTTTATGTAACGAGTCGAGCTCGAGTTATGTAAGCGGTGTTGTGGTTTGGTGAGTTAAACTGTAGTATAAGTACTGTAGTAATTACGTTTTTTTTTAATCACCATATTGATTTTTCGTTTTTAATTTAATTCATGGGCAATAAAAGTTGTTCAGTAAAATTTATTCCTGCTTGTCGCACTTGAGACTTTATGAAGTCGCTTCGAGCGAGTTTTGTTCAAAATTCGAGACAAATTTACGACTTGAGTTGTTTTTAGACGCGAGTCCGTGTTCCGATAACTCGCGGGCGACTCGATTCGGACTCATGACTATTTTAGGCCACGGTGCCATACAAAATTGAGCTGAGTTTATGAAATGTAGACTCCCAGACTCGAGTTTTTCACAACACTAGGTAGGTAAGGTCAGGAACACATTATAAGTAACACTTGTGATTTTCATTACAGATAAATGAGATAAGAATGGTACAAAAATCTTTTCTTCATGTTCAGCCAAATAAGTGAAAGAGAACTATTACGTATGGATTGTCTTCCGAAAAAAGCTCATTATCATTAAAATTGCAAGTTTTAAATTTATAATAAATAAACATAAAAAGGGATATGCTTTTATAAAAATACCTTCTAAAACTTTAACTTGTTAACATTTATTTTTGATTGCAGCGCAATTTTTATTTTGTCTAATAATAATAATGCGCCAGACAACCAAACCAATTGCCAGGTCTCAAACTAGGGAATTCCCTGTGGTTTTAGAATCAATTTATAAAAGTTCATTTCTCAAATTGATTCTACCAGGAATCGCACCCACGACCTCCTCATCCAGAATGCGAAAAGCTGATTTGATGATTTATTAGTGAAATTGTGGCAAGTATAAAACTTAATATAAAATGTTTAAATCTAAGTCAAAAATAAATATTTACATGCCGTCAATTTTTTTTAAACATGTTTCTCAACATAGGTCAATGAAGATACTTTTTTGTTTAACTTGTCTCGAAACTCTTATGAATTAAAACAACATTATTTGGCAACATATTGAGAAATAGATGAATGATGCATATAAATTATTAATTGTCACATCATCATCATATCGACTAATATTCCTATATATCGATAGTCTTCCGGCTGGAAGACGTCCACTGTTGAACGTAGGCCTCCCACAAAGATTTCCAGACCAGCCGATCGGACGCGACGCATCCATCGGTTACCCGCCGCCCTTATCAGGTCATCCGTCCATCTAGTAGGGGGCCGTCCAACTGAACGTCTTCCAGTTCATTCGATTAATTGTTTGCAACATCAAATTTTGCGAGTCCATACTGTGCTGTTCTTCAAATGATCTGAAGTATTTTTATAAGTTACTTGGTTAACCATTATAAAGTTACAAGGTTGTTTTACTGTCCATGCTGGGACAAGAGAACCTTTGCTGAAATGTGAAATTTGTTTACCTGAGAATATTCAACATCCATTACATTTCTTTCACTTTCAAGTGTATCAAGTTTTTGTCTCAAAACTATGGCCATTTCTTTCAATTCCTTTAGACTTTTGTTTATTTCATGTTTAACTTCTTTCATTGTTGGCTGCTCTTTACCTTTAGCATTGTTGACCTCAACATTTTCCTGAATAGATTGGTTCAGGACATTCGTTTTACTTATTTCCTTGATTTTTTGTAGCTTTTGAATAATTTCTTCATCTGTTAAAGTAAATTTGTTGATACACATTACTGGAAAAATAAAACAAATCTTTTAGATTCACAAAATAATTATATCACTAAAAGCCATTTTTTAAATAGTAATAGGTATGCTAATACTATGTAGAATTTATTATTTTATTTAATAAGAATAATGTTGTGCAAAATAATTACCTGAAGAAGAAATAAAAAAATCTCCAATAGTTTTTTTATCAGGAGGATTGCAACAAGGTGGTATCCAAATAGAGTTCAACTCCTCACCAATTTTGGCACTGATACTTTGCATAAGCAAGGATCTCTTGTTTATTGGCTCTTGGGCAGTGGTTTGCTTGCCCTCACTGGGCAATTGCTCTATGAGGAACATAAACACTTGCCTCAATTCAGCTTCATTGTAATATAGAAATGTTTGGTAACCAACATCATTTTTATAGCCTAAATCCTGTGAAATTTAAACACAGCTCCACATATAAAACTGTTAAGAGAAACACTATGTACATAATAAGGAGGCTTTTGGTTAGTACAATTATACTCACCTTGCAAAGTGAAGCAATCTGAGCAGCCACTTCAATTCTGTGTGATATACCTGATGGCAATTTTGTTGGCACCTTCAAGGATGGATTAATTGCAATCAGACACTTTGATGCAGACTGAATTATAGTATCTACACGAAGATCACAAATGTTTTTAATTTCTTCATCAATTTTTCTGCAATTCAAAACAATTAAAATTTATAATAGGAGGGAGGACAGATGGTGTTATGAGGTAGGTACTTTTCCAGAGCGTTTCCAACAATTGTTAGCAGTAGGAAATAATAACAAAACTCAAGCTTTCATATTAATAAACACTACTTATAATGATTCATATCAAGCGGAAAAGTTGGTTCAAATATATAACTTACATGTTTAATTGACGAAGAAAATGTAAAATTATGGAATCTACTTCCTCCATTCCGATATTATATCAGAATTCTATGGTATGGGGTGTAGATTTTTCACAAAATATTTGATCTCACGCACGTAGCACCCTTATCTTTTTGATTTGTGTAGCACCCCCTCTGTGGAGTCTTTGGTAACACCGTAACACCCTTTAGACGATGGAAAAAAGTAGCGCCTCTCAAGTTTCAAACAAATCCTTTGACTTTATTTATTTCAGAGTGACTATGGTATTCAATCTTTGGCTTTTTTTTCTTCTTTCCATAAAGGAAAAGGCAAAGGTTTTACACCATACAGCCAAGTCTTGGTACCTTATTCTTTTTTGGTACATGAAGTTGAATTATGTTTCTGTAAATATGGCCGCCACAAAGAGGATAGGCAATTTGAGGCGGCGTGCTTGGATTGACTCGATATTCCTTAGAACGGGCCGATACGGGTATTTTAGTTCGAGATTCGTATAATTTCGCGTTTTAATCTTCGATTAAGGCACGATAGCACTATCCTATTTTACTTTAAACTAGATTTCACAAAATAATTGAAAGTCGAAATAAAAACGACACTTTTCCCTCCAAAAGGTCCAGAGCGAATCTATCTTTGGCTGACAGATGACATAATTTATTTTTTTTTTTATTAAGGCTTTGGCAAAGCCATCAGCCTAAACATGAAGTTTAATTATGTTTCTGTAATTATATGGCCGCCACAAAGAGGATAGGCAATTTGAGGCGGCGTGCTTGG